GAAAGTCATGTGTTGCCTTTCTGTGTTGTCTGAATCACTTCACTGCTTAAAAAGCTGCTTATCTTGGCACAGCTACTTTCTAGCTACTATCTCAAAAAAAAGTTAGGTTAACATGTTACAACCAACCATAGGTAAGGCAGAAGGTTGTTGCACATTGGATGTGAGATGACAAACCACAAAGCACAAAAAAAGAAAGGCTGCTGTTGGTCTCTGTGAGAGTAGGAAGTAATAAGCTGTTTCTTGGAACAAATGGAAAAACTGTGAAGACCAAAGAGCGTACCTAGGGAAGTTGTTCTTACTTCAGACAATAATGCAACAGGTTGAAAAACAGTATCAATATATTCTATTCTTATCACAGAAGTGACCCATTAACCTCAACACTTGGGCAGTACTTAGCATCCTATTATTTCACCTATTTGGCTAAACAAAACCAGATTTTTAAATATTAAAAGCTACAGAGTGAAGCACTCCTATAAGAGCTTCTACTATGAATTGAGGGCTAGACTTAGATGGAAATGGAAGTTACATAGAATTTAAAAAAAAAAAAAAGCTACAGTGATGTGGATAATTATAGAGCCTTAACTTTCCCATGCAGCACAAGTGTTCAGTGCACATTCTGCCCGGACATTTACTCTGGTAAGTGAATTTAATTGCGGGTGAAAGGTGCTGAACTGAAATATCTGGGTTACTAAATCAAAAAGTGTACAGCACAGCATTAGGAGTACCTGCCTCTTCATATGGTCCTGGCAATACATTTCAGCTTTGAAATATCTTGGCAAAAATATCTTGAAAGCACTATTTATAAGCTGAGAGAGGAAAAACTCCAAACCCTTCTTGCCCCAGATGTAGGTGCTAACCAGGCACATTACAGCTCAAGGTTTCTGACCTAAGAAGAGACAAAAGAAGCTTCATGACTTCAATCCAACTAGCAATGAAGTGTTCAAGGGCTGAATGGGAAGAGAGGACAGAGATCTGATCATTATCAACCACATGAAAGAGGCAATTACAAGGTGCAGAAGGAAAGGCCAACTAAAATTGCAAAACAACTGCAAGACAGACTGCTAGAGGGCATGTTTAGCTAATGCAAGTCAGCCTTCCCGAACCTGACAACTATAAAACACAAATTTTAAATAACCAGTAAAGAGAAAAGAGCTAGGAGTAATTTGCAGGTTGGAGGTGACAACGCATGCTCAGGGGTCCTATTATCTCCACTGTTCGGTTTTATTATGGAATGGGTCTGCAGGCTCCCTTTCTGTCATAGACAGGAGGCTGCATCATTACTATTCAGGACCTGTGTACAAGCACTGGTCTGCTTCTGCCCACAGGATGTACTCCCAGCTGCGGGACCTATATGCAAGCTGTCTCCAGCTCACAGACCCTTAAATGCTCCCACTGAACCTCAGGTGACAGAAGCCACACAGATAATCACTAGTAAGGAGAAGGTGACATCAGGACAAGCATCAGGAGAATATTTGTATGAATGTATTGTTTGTTTTTTCTTTTCCTTGAAACATTTGTACCTAACCTAAGTGTCAAAGTAATGAGCCTTCTTCACAAAACTATTTTTAAACTTACACCGAAGAAGCTGTGAATTACAATTGCAACACAGATACTATAACA